AAGTCTTTACTTACGGTAGAGTCAGAATATGTATGTAGCAGTTGATGCAAAACAGCTGATCTATAGTAAAGTCCTACCCCCCTTTTAACTTGCTGCAATTTGCTCAATTGTCCATACCCTTAGTCAAGTTGATACAGCTTTGCATGTAGACAAAGCTTTACCTGCTCCAAATGACAGCACACACAAATGTTCACTATATTTACTTAACATGCCCGTGTGAATATTAAAATGTGGGAGGATACCATTTCAACATTGCATACTTTTATGTACTGAGTGAATTGTGTTTCTTAATCCATTGCTTCTTGACTATTTACTTTAGTGGTTGCAGCCCATATTGCCTTGTGTAAAACATGATGAAGTTTATCTACGAAGGTAGGGCCAATATAAATGCAAAATGAGATCTCAAATCCCATTACAGTTCAAAACCAGGAGACTGCATTAGACTTTGTTTGGAGGTTGCAACTAAAATCCAGACTGCATCGTTTCTTCCACAGCTTGAAAATTTCACTGACAAGTTATCTTTTCTGATCTACAAGTGCTAGGTCAGGATTTTAAATTCTAAACAATCTCCCCTCTTGAATAAGCAGATTAATCTTCTGTCCAAGAATTGAGCCAGGGTGGAAAAATACTAGTGCTGCCAAACCCCCCTTCTTCCACAGGCAACCTTCTTTCTGAGTGTAATGGCCTAGGATCTTCATTCAGTAAAGCAGCCAAGCACGTGCTCAAGTCCCCCCCTCAGTGTCCATTTCCCTCTGCCTCCCAAACTTCCCTTTTATTGTGCTCCCTATATATAGCCTGCCATTCTTTCTCTTCCCTTCTCTTTCATAAACACACATTTCTCTCTTCCTTCTACTGCTATCTACACATCTACAGGATTGGAAATGTCATCAGATACCTAATAGCCAGATAACTACTAGCCACAGATAATGACAGGGGACCTACTGTACAGAGGATATATTACTTCATGCCTCCTTAAGTTCCCTGGCTATTACCAGGGACCTTTCCACTACCTCCCAGCCATCAGCCTCTCTCCCAATTTTGTCAGTCCATTCAATAGAAGTACAGCCAAGTATAACAGGGAACCCCTGCCCCTGTTACTGGTGAGGCCAGGGAGGGCAGCAAATCAAAGGTAGCAGTACAAGTGGGCTACGCCTGGCACTAATGTGGCTAATAAATTAATGAGCGACCAGCCACACAGGATGCAGCAGGTCTGGTTGGAAGTAGGCTGGGCTAGGGGATTTAAACCCAGCCCAAAGCTAAACCAAATCAATTGGAGCATGTAGTGTGCGTGTGCTGCAGGTGCAGACAGGCATGTAAGCTACCTAGGGAACCTGTCTAGGAGACTCTCTCTCCCAGTTTAGGCCCGCAGGCTGCTCTGACAGAGAGACTTCTTATTTCTTCTGCAAAGCACATAGCTTGCACCTTTTGGTTTATTGTTTTGATTTGATTTGTACTTTTGAACTGAAGGACTGGGTTGCAGCTATAGGGGTAGAGGAGGCTGCAGAAAGGGGTCTTGGATGCACCCCTCTTTTGCTGTAGGACCTAAAAGACAACTCCAGGCTGTGGGGCAGAACCTGGCACACGGAAATGGAACTCTAAAAAGGTGCAAGATGGTCGCTGAGTCTGGGCCTAAAGCCCAGAAGCTGAGGTTTTTTACTAGCGGGCCATGGTGGGTGTGCCCAGGGAGAAAAAGGGGCCAAGACTTTAACAGCTGGAGCCCCTACAAGCCCTCAGAAACCTACAAGGACAGCCCCATGAAAGGGAGAGCCCTGCGTGGATGTGCAGTGGCAGAAGGACCCAAGTAGGGCGATGGGTCTGATGGAGCTGGCCAGGTGGTCTGCAGAGCTGCTACTGGTCTTAGGACTCACTTCTACTTCCTAACATCCAGTAATATCAAAATCATAGCAGACTAGTAACAGAAGCATAGGCAGACCAGAAGAAGGTAGTGGCAGAGCAGCATGGGCTCTACATACCTTTGCATCAAGTTCTATCTGTGTTAAGGAAACAGTTATTCTAATATTTGTATACACTTGTTCCAAGTTTGCACGCAAAACAGCACCACTTTAACTGTAAGTAATTAGTTATGCTGCTACGATATTTTTAATTTTGGTCATCTTAAACTGTTCTTACATTCCTGTGACAGCGTGAGAGACACTGTTGGTAGTGTTAAAGTGACATTGTAGCCACGACGGTCCAGAAATATGTGAGAGGCAAGGGTATCTCTGGACAGTATCTTTTACTAGACCAACTGCATAGTAGGAATACAGTGAGACAAGCTTTTGAATGCTGTGACCGGAAGAAGAATATCTTGCATTCAAAAGCTTGAATAACTCTATCCCAGCTATGCAACTGATCCAATGAAAGATACTACCCAAAGACATCCTTGCTTCAGTCGCTGGTGATAACATTTTATACTGCATTTTTCTCTCTTAACACATCATAAAAGGTGCCACCCTTCCTGTATATAACACAAGAGATTTCATAAAGCAGTGGCTCCTAAACCATGGTCCATGGACTGCATCTTCCTCTCCTTTCAATTAATATTTTGATTGTAAGAGCATGAGGTGATCCCTGAGAAATGTTGAGGGTTGTCAGTGGTCTAAATAGTTTGGAAAGCACCAATTTAAAGCAATACATCCAGTTTGCTCATTCAGGATGCATGTCAAGGAACCAGGAGCTGCAAGTGATGAATGTAAGGTAGCTGAGACTGAAAAGGGGACAGGGAGCTGAGTGATGAATAGAAGGAAGTTGAGACTGAAAAAGGGACAGGGAGCTGTGAGTAATGAATGGAAGGTAGCTGAGACTGAAAAAGATGAGTGGGGTACCAATAGAATACAGCTTCCTTGTTTTCCACAGCTTGCAATTGTTAGCAAAGCTATTTTGTGTAGTAATTTCCTAACTTTTCAAGTAACTAAGCACCACAGTGGTTCTTGCACATACACGTATAATAGACATCTCCATGAAAAGAAATATGGACATAGATTATTCTCTGTGTGATCTCTGCAATAGGTCATGTTTCTCATGTCTCTGAGCAATTGCTTACTTCCCTTCCTGAATCCCCACAAAACTGTTCCTCCTTCCTATTGCTCTGCATGCCCTCTTCTCCCATTTATAGCCCTGTTTCCCCAACATTTCCCAATTCCATAAAAGCCCCTTAGTAGCTCTGCACTCCCCATTCAGCTTTTAAGAATGGATTCTATATGTATTACCATTTCTAAGTACACCTAATGATGCGTGGACACTGATAAACTGAATGAATATTAGAGAGCCATCAGACTTCCCGATTCCTTACAGGTATGAGTTAATGACCTTTGAGGAAAGTCTGGGGGGGTGCAACTAAAAATACATCTTTGACAATCCTGGACATTGTTGTGCTGTAGGAATGGGGAAAATAATAAAGCTCCATATCATAAAATGCTGTGTTAATCAATGGCCAACAACCTTTAAGTTCAGGAAGGCAACAGCCTTATCATCCATGAACCAGGCAATTGGTGGATAAGTGGTACAAAACAAGGGGAGCCCAATGAGGAAGGCAGAATACCTCTAGCAGGTAGAGAACTACAACAGTTCTTCCTTCTGCATTTTGATAGGAACCTTTTTAACAAGTCAGTCCATGGACAAAAGCAACCAGTTTATATAGAAAATGTACAGAACTCAAACGACTAAAATGTTTTTCTTAAATTAGAGGAAAGGACAGTAAGCCTAATGGTAACTTGTAAATAAGAAGAAAATTACAAATTGTCATGACCCAAAAGGCATGATTGTGTGTGCTTCGGCACCAGAATTATCCCCGTCAAGTTGCAGAGCATTGCACGGGAGAGTTTCCTGTAGCAGAGGAAACCCCGGTGCAGGGACGAGTTTCCCACCTTTTCTGCAGCTTCTTTTGCAGGGTGCATTGCTCATGTTGCAAGAGGAATGCACGGTGCAAGAGAGTTCCCGCC